AAAGGTGAAGCTCTGCGTTTTCACACCCTTTCCCTTGATGGTTTTTCCCTTCTCTCGTCGTTTTATTTTGCAATGTGGTGGCTCGAGTTCAGAGGTTTTGCGATGGCATGGTGCCTGACCCTTTCTGGGCAAAAGCAAAGAAAGCTAAAAAATGAACCTAATAAATGTTATCAGTTTTTTTTCCCCGATTCCGGCCGTTCCAGTCTGCTGGAACAACAAGCAACCCCACAATCGTTTCTGCGTGCGCATGGACATTCGGGTTTTGCGTTCTTGAAGTTATCGATCGAAAATTGAACATTGAAAAACAAAGCCCAGAAGGAGAGACATTCTACAAAAATCCAGAATTGGAATTGGTTTTCTTCTCTCGTCGTTTTATTTTGCAATGCGGTGGCCCATCAGAGGTTTTGCGATGATGGTGTCTGGCCTTTTCTGGGTGTCGCATTATTGTCGTGCCATGCAAGTTTTAAAAAACTTGAGCAGCTCTCAGTTGCCAGCTTGGAGCAAACTTGTCAACTGGCATGTTGGCTAAAAGTCAAACAACACAAAAGTCAAGAATCAGTGGCAAAACACATGCACTGATCCACAAATCTCTTTGCCGCAAAAAAACAACTAGAATTTACATTCATGAAAACCGCTTTTGGAGAGTGCAACAGTCATAGATTCCCATTTGGAAAGAAGCATTTCCTTGTGTTTTCGGTGCAGCCTGCAAGCCTGGTGCATTGTTTCGTCGTGCACTTCTGCAGAATGTTGACTCTGCGCGCTTTGATGCCAGCGCGATATTGCAACCGCTTGCTTGCATTCAGCTTCGAACGTGCAGCTTTTTTCTGTAGCTTGAACGTGTTGAAAATGCATCATTTTCTGTTTTTTTTTCTATTTGAAGCGTTGTTTTTTTTTTTGTTTTTCTTTTTTGGAATGTGAGGAAGAAAAAGTTGCCAAGGTTTGCCATTGTATTCTTTGCTACACTTCTTGGTGTGTGTGTTGTGCTTTTACTTCATGCAGCCACCAAGCTGCTTGCATCGCATTTAATTAAAAGAACATGTGTGCATGCGTCTTCGAACGTGTGTTTGCTGTTGCTGTAACAATGTGGTTGCTTACAAAGCATACAAGCATCAACAGCACAAATTCTTTCTACAGACTTGCTGCAAGCTCTATGATTTGTCTGCAGCTTTTGCCCGTTTAATATTTGTTCAAAAAGATGCAGAGGGCTGTTTGTTTCTTGAAGGCCTTGAGACAAGAAGAATCTTCGAACAACCGCGTCCATGTTTATGTTGACGTCTCTCACGGACTCGTGCTGCCTCTACCGTCCAGTTGAGTTTACAGCAAATCAAAACATTGCAACGCTAGCAACATGGACCCGCAGCGACCAGGTTGAGGGGAAAGCCTCAATCGATGTTTTCGCTTTTGCTGCCATTTGGCTTGTAATGTTCTAAGATCGAGCTCTGTGCGGTAATTGGTGTATTCAGAACGCTTTGTTGCCCCTGCAGAAAAATGTCCACTGGGTAGATGTTGTAAGAGCTGACACGCGAATCAGACAAGGTCAGTCAGAGTCGCGAATCAGGAGACACAGAAAGCTTTAATTCACATCGTGAAAGCTTGAAACTTGCTTTTTTTGGCGTGAGCAGGCCTCGTCGACGGCGGTTGCCGCACTCGGTCTAACGAAATCAACAAGAAGCAACAATGAACTAACAGGAAACCAATAATCGGAAAAAAAGCTTGAAACTTGTTCGTTCTTGAAAGCCATACTGCACTGCAGCAAAAGGAGAAAATTCGAAAGTTTGGTCATCAGGTCCCACGGCCCCACTGACAAGCTTGAAGCAGAAAACCTAGAAAGCTTAAAATCAGCACCTCCGCAAGCATGAAGCGGACCGCTTCTTGAAGCATCTGGAGAATTAGAAAGTTTGGTTATTAGCCGCAAGCACGCCTAGTCGAAAAAGAGAACTTCTTCAACAAGTCATGTGCAGAAAGCACCACGAATTATGATCGAATGCGCACTGAGAGAAAGAGTTCGCTTTGAGCATAATGAAACGCAGCCAATCATGGACCGGTTGACCGCTAAAAGAAGCTGATGAAAAAACCGAATTCGCCGAAGAGTGCTCGATTAAAGGGGTGAGGGCAAAAAAGTGAACAAAATCAATCGAGCACTCGACGGCCGTCTATGCAAACAACGGCAAAACGCGTGCCCTAAATTTGAAAGCCATGCAAAAACAGCAAGCAAAACATGGTTTTCGGTGTTGCCGTAAGCCGAACAGGGTAGATAACTTAGTTTTCGAACTTGCGGTTTTTTCCCGACTTTTTCCAGATCGTTTCACCTCTTTTGTTTGTTTGGTAGGGTAGTTTCGTGTAGGGCCTTTTTCAGTCTTTACGCTGCATGAAGTGGGCCATTGTTTCATTTTCTCGCAGTGTTTTGCGTCTGTGATGTTGATTGCATAGACGCCGGATTGTACGGGTTTTGTTTGTTTGATACATAGGTTTTGATTTGTTACAACCAGACAGTGGCTTCACGATTTTTCACGATTATCGCCATGCCGTTTGTTTATTACGTCGCGCGAACCATCACTGTTATCATCAACAGCATGGCCGTTGCGTCAATCGGTTTCGTTTCGTAGAGTGCGTGCTATCACCGCGTGTCCCAGTATTCAATGAAAGTGGGACATTGTGTTTTGTATTTTGTTTTTTACACGAACGGTTTCGATCGGTTGTGGCTCAAGCTTGGCAGCAACTCGCAGCTTCATGGCTGGTGCGCGGTGTTGTTCAACAGCAGGCGCAGTGCTGAACTTTAAATTCGTCCAACTTACACAGGGGTCTGTTCCAGGAAATCATCAAGTGTTCCTGATCTGCACAGCACCAAAAGCAAGGAAAACAGCGAGGACAAAAAACTCACGAATGATTATCATGATGATTACAAAACTAATAAGACGAGTTCTCATCGGGAGCTCAACAAGGGTCTGTGCGGCTGCGGACATAGCATAACCGAGCTGCAGACTCCCTGGCTCAACAAGTTTGCCTGAGTGTAATTTTAGTTGTCATTTTTTGTGGATACGTCTTCCAGCATTACAGTTGCCTTGCAATTAGTGCCACGATTGGTCGTGTTAAAAAATATTTGTAGGGGAAGGATTGTTTCCCCGATCTTGCCTTGAAGCTAACTTTGAAAAGTCAGAAGACGCCAGCCTTAAAGCCCTAAGCCTTAAACCCTAAACCCAAAACCCTAAACCCTGATCCCAGGGTCCGAACCCTAAACCCTGAAGCTTTCAACAAAAAGCCGTAGACAGCCGTCATGGGAATTTTTCGTGGGGAGGTTGAGCGGGTGCTACCCGTACCGTTCGGGAACATTCGGGAACCTTGGACGAAAACCCTAAACCCTAAACCCTAAACATTAAAGCCTAGAGCTCTTAAGAGGTTCTCTCAGGGGTTCCATCAAGGGCGTTTCGGTTTGAGGCTTTTAGGGTCTAGGCTTTAGGGACTAAGGGAACCCTTTACTGGAAGCCTTTAAGGAAACCCTTAACCCCGAACCTTAATCCTTGAAGCCTCACCCGGCAGCCTAAATCAAAAAGCCACGACACCTTAAGCCACAAACCTTTAGACTCGTAGACCCTTAAATCCCGTAAGCCGTTAAGCCCTAAACCCGAAACCGTAAACCCTAAACCCTAAGCCCTCCGTAAGCCGTTAAACCCTAAACCCTGATTTCCTGAAGCCATAAATCCTAAAGACTAAATCCTGAAACCCACGTAAAGTAGCCTTTTAAACCCGCAGAGCCCCAAACCCTGAGAGGAAGCCTGAATCCTGAGAGGAAGCCTAAACCCTTAGAGTAACCCTACATTCTCAGAGTGCCCTTAAACCTGTAGAGTAACCTAACCCATCCTAACCACCCTAAACCTGCAGAGTAATCCTAAACTTTATAGATCCCGTTTAGAACCCTGAAGCAGTAGGTGCGAAACTTTAACGAGCTGTCCGCTCAAGCAAATGTGGGTCGAGCAGGCTTTGCGGCTGGTGCATACCGGGATCTCTACTAACTGGTGGGGACTCGGGTGTCCGTCGCATTGCCAAGGATCAGTCCTAGTGCTGTGCCTCACTTTCGTTTCGGGGTTGCTTTCGGGTTTCCTTGGGGCTCTTTGGTTCTTTCGGGCTGTTCTTTTCAAGGCTCCCACTCCGGAACCCTTCGCCTCGCCTAACCCTTCTGCTTCTCCTCCGGCCAGAAGGCCTGCTGATCTACGCCTCCGAGCCTACTTGCATGAGCGAGCGTGACCTTGCTCGTGCTGTGGATTCTTTGGCTGACTCCTTGCGTCAACTTGCCCTTGCCGTGCAAAACCCTAACCCTAGGAGCCCTAGTGGTTCTAGTGATAGGTGGGAGGTTGTAGACCCTGCGCCTTCCCGTGAGCCTGGTTCCCGTGAGGCTCCGGGCCCCCTTTCTGTTCATCATTCGGGCCTTTCTTCCTCTGCTCTTACTGAGCGGTACAATCAGCTTGAGGCCTCCTTCCCTGCTGTGCCTGAGCGCTGTGTTCACTCCTGCCGAGCTCTGTCTGGCTCCGGCTCCACTCCTGAAGCCCGCGCCTCCCGTGCTTGGATTGCTGGACTTTGGGCCCGTGCTGTCTTGGACGACCTGGTGCCTAGACCCCGTCCTTCCTTCCGGCTCGCCGGCTCACTTCCTTCGCGCATCTACATTGTTCTCAGGTGTTCAGGGTTGGATTGCCCCGCCAGGTTTTCCTCTTCCAGGGCCTTCAAACAGGCCGTGGGGAGATTGGAGGAGTCTGGCACATTGTGCCACGGCTTCCCCTCCCTTTCCGAAGCCTTGGTGTACTGCGAAGCGGCAGGAATTGAATTCCCTGTTGAGAGATGATGAGCTTGTCCGAGCTAGAGGTCCTCAGCGACGGTGCTGTCAATGTGCTGGCCCTTTCTTGGCCCGACGATGGGCGCACGGCTCCCCTTCCCGAGTCCCTCGCCATCCCTGTGTTGAAGCGGCAGGAAGGAGTTCTGCTTTGCATTCCCTGCGGCTTTTTGTCTCTGTCTCTCCTCGACCAAGGCGATCAGGCAGAGGCCGTATCGCTCGTAGGGCCGAGCCATCTGACCAGGGTGCCTTTCGGGGTTACGGACGAACAGGGCTTGGAGGTCCCTTTGGATTTGGACGGTGCGGTGACCCTTGTGGACTTCGGAGCCGATGTGTTGCCTTTGCTTCGGATGGTGGGCGAGGGGTTTGCTGCCGAGAACTTGTTTCCATTCCTTATGGATCACCCCGATGCTCTTCCCCTCTCAGAGGAACTCCTGTCCACAGCAAAGGCCTGGTGCTCGGAAACTGCTCTGGATCGCCT